AGAGATAGAGAGGCACAGAGATAATAGGAATGATCGAGATGATGATCTGCTTCCTTTTCTTCTCTTCTCTCTTTTCTTTCTTTCTTTCTTTTTTTTCCTTTTTCCTTTATCTCAACAAATTCCTCCATTTATACTTTCGATATGTTTCGAAAGGATTTTTGTATTCTCTTTTTTAAACGATATGATCAATCATTGATTTCGATCGATCGATCGATCGATCGATTTAATTGCAACGATTAAAAAAAAAGGATCGAAATCCTTTCTCTTGGCAGCCACCACCCCACACCTACTTCTTCCGCCCCCTTTTTTTTTTTTTTATCGCCAAATAGCACGTGACATTTCAAGTAGGAAAAATCTTAGGAACGATATATTAGATCGGCCTTCGAGTCAACTACCAAAGAATCGAAATGGTTGCTATTCGATAAAAATAGTCCATACTAGAGTTTCGATATATTTTCGAGAATCCAACGTCGTCGCTACGTGCCAAGCGTATAAAACGTTTCGGCCAAATGTCGATATATGTATACTCTGTATAAGCGAATCTAGATAGGTATTAGTTATTAATTTATCGTCGTATTATTATCGATCTTTAACGCGAAAATATTTTCGAGTTATCGTCAAGGAATGGAAAGAAAAAGAAAAGAAAAATAGACTAAGTAAAAAACAAAAATTATATATATATATATATATATATATAAAAAGGAACGTGTATTTTCGAAAAAAAAAATAAAAAGAAAATGGTTAGATAGGTAGATAGTTAGGTGTATCCAAATAAATTGATAAGTGTGTTATTTCCATTGGAATTTCTAAAACGAAATGTAGTTCGATTTATAGAGGTACTTTCTCCTTATCTTTACGATCGTTGTAAGATATATCGGATCTTTCTTTATATTCCCTATCCCCGGAGCATAAAGTAACGTTGGTTATAGTACCAGTTTAATAATGAACACTTCCTTTATTATTCTCCTCGTAGGATTATCATTATGATCATCGTCGTCGTCGTCGTCGTCGTCGTCGTCATCATTATCATCGTATAATCGAATAATCTTGAAATATGTTAGGATAAAGTCGTTTAAATAAAGTTTCTAGATCAAAAGATATATGTTCTCCTTGGACCGCTAAAGCTTTCTTTATCTATTCCAAATGTTATCATAGATCGTTCGTAAAGCATTCGATTGTCGAACGTCCGAGGATCGCGTCATTGGGAACACGTGTGCTCGATAGAGTGAATTAGTTAGGGGAGCGAACGGCAAGGAGGGTCGCGAGAAAACAAGAAGATGCGCGTATTATTCGAGAGAGAGAGAAAGAGAGTGAGAGAGAGCGAGAAAGGGTGAGGGATAGAGAGAGGGAAGAGGAGGAATCGACGAAGGAGTCATTACCATGTTATACCGACACGCCGACACGGAAACTGTACCGCACGGCGTGTCGGCCTCGAAATAGAATATAGAGGCTTATTTCGGATGCGCCGTCTCGTTGGTCTAGTCCAGAGCTGGTCTAGACCTCCGTACTAGACCGAGGTTCGCCCATTTTACGAGCCGATAGTAGGCGACTCGGTTGGGTGCTGCCTATAGGCGGTCGCAGGTGCACCTTCCACGCTTTATACATACATTTGGTATTTGCTCTCTTCCTCTTGTCTCTCTCTCTCTCTCTCTCTCTCTCTCTCTCTCTCTCTCTCTTTGTCTTTCTCAGTCTAATGTTACTTCTATATTTAATAATGCATTTCTCTTTCGACCGAATTATCTAGCGAATTAACGAGACGATTAATTAATTATATTTCGATATTATTTTCTACGTTATAAGGATGTATCGTTTTTATTATTAAGTAAAATATACGATTATTTATAGACAATTATTACTTCGAATGATCTTAGAGAATAGGATATCTCGATTTATTCTGAAAACGTATACGATGGCCGTTTATTTTTAGAAAATCGTGTTACGAGAGAAGGATATCAAATTTAAGAATAGGAAGATGACATTAATTAGATGACGGAACTACTGGTAATTATCTTTTATGTCCTCAAGTTCGATGGCGGAACATCACGTTTTCCGTCGCAGTTACTTCGTTGCGAGCCTGGATATCAACGGGTTATTAATTTTCCGCGGCCGTTATTTCTGAAATTGGTGATTTAGCTGTCGGAGAGCCGGGAAGTCAGTGAGCTTGGCCGCCTCGGCCAAACAGTGATTCACCCACGCTCTAAAAATATATCGAAATACACGCATCGCGTTATGGACCGCGAGTTAGGCACTATGTTAAATATCCTAATGGGTTAGAGAATCTTAGGAAGCGTGTGGAAAGGGAATAGGGATGAAATATTTATAAGTGCTAATTGCTTTCTCTCTCTCTCTTCCCCTCTCTCTCTCTCTCTCTATCTATCTATCTAATTACTCATCTAATTAATTATTGTGAATCTTTCAATAGAATGTTATATTAAAATTGTCAATGGCAATGCGAATTTGAAAAAACAATCGAAATTTTTTCATTTAAACAATATTACAAATTAATCGCCAAATTGATCGCAAGGCCAACACTTTGAGTTCTTCCTCATCGCGAAGACCTAAAAACGTCGTTCTCCGTCGATCGACTTTAGTAGATCGTCGGTGAAAGCGGTTAATACCGTTCGCTCCGTGGTTCAGCGATTCTACGGAACGACCTATCGATGCATCGGCTTGCACATGCATAAACGCTCGAAAGATCCTTTGTTTCTTACTGATGGTGTCTCTTACGATTGCGAATCTTTTATGTTTGATAGCTAAAACTTTTGTGATTAGATAGGCAAAATACGAAATAAAACATTCGACGGAGTGATCTTTTTTTTTTTTTTTTGTTTTCTTTCTTTCTTCCTTTTTTTTTCCAGAACAAAATATATACGCATATAATTTTTCTTTATAGAAATGTTATTTCTAAAATGTTTGTAAATTATATTATAGATATTACAGAAGGATAATGGAGATATCTCGATCTCAAAGTTATATACTGTCGCAGATAATACTACGCGTCTATTATATCGACGTTTCTACTATCCAGCACGATGCCTCTTAATTACTTTAACGCGACCCACGTGACCTCCGACCCAAGCTCTCCCAGTCCGGAGGTCGTGTTGTAACATGCATGTGTACTAGCATACGCATACATGGGATATAAACGAGATGCACGTTCCACGAGTACATAAGCATAGAGACGTCGGACTTTCTCGTTCGACACCTACGAATTCTCTTCACGTATAATCCCGTTGTAACGTCGTCGAAAACTATAAACTCAATGCAGTTATCGAAAGTACATATCTTTCTAACATAACTTTTATACTTGACATTAATCTCATTTCTTATCGATTTCATTTTTTATCTTCTTACATACCTGATTAATAACTTTTGAAAATACATATGACCGATCGTCATACGTCCTTGCGTTATCTTTCATTTGAACTCTGACCTCACGGATTTTATGTATTAAGACCAACCCGTCGAAAAATGAACTATATCTAATGCGAACATTGATCTCTCTCTCTCTCTCTCTCTCTCTCTCGCTCTCTCTCTCTCGCTCTCTCTCTCTCGCTCTCTCTCTCTTTATCATCTATCTTTGCTTCTTCCAATTACAAAAGTATCCCTATAGTAAAAAACGTTCGTCTCGCGTTCAGACATTTTCTTTTTTCAGGTGCATACGATTGTAAATGTTTGGTACTTTTCTTTTTTATCTTTTTTCTTTTTTTAGTCCTTCTTTCATTGATTTCTATATGCCGACGTCTGGCGCATTATTTTCGTCGAATAATAGATCGTGATATTAATATTTTGAACATTCATGAGTGTCATCGAACAAACCTAGACGCTCGAAATTCACCGAATCGATGGCGCTTTTTATTTTCAAAATTATTTTTCGCCAGTCCGAAGAATATTCATGACAATGCGTGATCCCGAACAAAGGCATCTAACCATCGACGGGTTCTTCTATTTTCGAACATTTATTTTTTTCTTTTTCTTTGTGAATATATACCAAGCTATTCAATCTTTCCCATACGAATGTAGTCCATAGGAGTGTGGTATTAAAAAAATCCTATCTCTTTATTTTCTTACAATTGGGTTCATTACAAATCGAATTGTCAAGAGAAAAAAAATAAGAGAGAGAGAGAGAGAGAGAGAGAGAGAGAGAGAGAGAGAGAGAAAAGGAAAAAAAATTATCATTTATTATATTCCAAAGATATATTTTCAAATTAACTCCTCGAATAATTTTATCGAATGTACGAAATAATATTTATTTATTTATTCGACGTTCCTTCTTCGAAGGAAAATCGATCTCATCGCAACTCACGTCCCTCTTTTCTTCCGTCAGTAATTTTTTTTTTTCTTCTTTTTTTTTTTTCTTCTTTTTCCTTTTGTCTTTTACATTCTCTCTTTCTTTCCCTCCCTTCACCTCCCTTCGCCACTCCTTCCTTTCGGTCCACTCTCTTCTCCTCCTAGCTCGCCTCCTCCGCCGCTTTCGAAGACTATACAAAGGTCGCTTGGATCGGTTCCAAAATTCCGAATCGCACGGGACGACATCGCGGCGATTCCTGCAGCGATTCGGGCTTAAGTGAATTCAGAGTGAGCCGTAAACCGAGGCTAAATAAACTTTGCCCCGCAAAACGGATCGCGTATTCGGCTTCCGTCTGATTTAAGGCAGCAATAAGCCTATCCACAGTCGCGTGGACGCGCGTTCCGCTAATTTCGCGAGTGGAAGGGCCATCGTCCCTCCTTTCTTTTCCCTTCTCTTAATCGTGTCCTTTATTCACTACGTTAATCGTAAAGGAATCCTACGACGAGAAATAATTACGAATAGAAAAGAAATTCTCATAATTTCGTTTTATTCGTACGCGTGCTTTTATACACGGCACATTGACATATTTTTATCAATTGATGGTGAGGGAGAGGGGGATGGAGAAAAGTAAACGAAAAGAAAAAGAAAAAGAAAAAAAAGAAAAGAAGAAGAGGGAGAAAAAAGAAAAGTAAAATTTCAATAACTTATTTTTACGTCGTACATATTCCTTTACGTCGTACGTATTTTTTTTACGTCGTACGTTAAATTATTTTGTTTATGTCGCGAACTCGATGATCTCACATAGTAAAGTTAACTGTAAAGTCGTGGCATAGGCCAGGTATATAGAAGAGAGAGAGAGAGAGAGAGAAAGAGAAAGAGAGAGATAGATAGATAGTGAGAGAGAGAGGGGGGGGAGTTCTAGGAATCCGTAGATCGTAGCGCGCCAATGTTTACTTATTTTCTCCCGAGCTTCGTAGTTACATTGAACGTATTCAGTCACACCTAGGTCATAGCAGAGTGAACATCGAAGACGATAAATTCTCTCAAATGTAAGTAAGTACTTACTACGTATATATCAATCAAATTAACACGTTATAAAATACATACATACATACTTTCGTTTTCCTCTGATTACAGAGAGTTTAAGATAGAGAAATAAGTAAGTGAGTAAGTAAGTAAGTAAGTAAGTAAGTAAATAAGTGACCGCTGTTAATTCTCTTAAGTACTTTCTTTGCTTTTCTACAAATTGTCTCGTTTCATCGAGTTTCTTCTTAAACGTTGCGCGCCGACGTAGCGATGGAAACGAGACGCGCTGCTGTTGGTGGGCGTCGTCGTCGTGGATCGGAGGAGGCTCCACGTCTGCGTTCTTGCGTGCCTTTATATTCTCTGTTTACCGACGCAAGCGCGATATACGCATGAATTTATGTTCGACAATGTGCAATTATCGCGGACAGATACCCCTCCTGGCTACCTTACATGATCATTAGATACACGCGTAAAGAATATCACGTGAGCAGGATCGGAACGAGAGAAGGAAAGAAAGAACGAAAGAAAGAGAGAGAGACAGAGAGAGAGAGAGAGTGAGAGAGAGAGAGAAAGAGAAAGAAGGATGCTTCTAACGAGATGAAGAGAGGAAGGATAGACAGAGAGAGATGCCACGCAACGAAGGAGTTTAGCGAGTATGTACACGGTCTATAGTGTGCGGGCAATTACCTTAGGAAACATAATTTACACGGAATTGCCATAACCGAGGAATATAAACGTGTACGAGGCACACGCTCTCGTTACCTCTCGCTCCTCCTCTTTTTTTCTCCTCATCCATCTTTTTCTCCACCCTCCTCCCTCCACCTCCATCTCCACCTTCACTTCCCCGTGCTCCATCGTTCTCTTTCTTTTGCTACTCCTTCTCCTATGTCAAGTAATAGCTATTGAAAATCGTGAAATCATGAATAGTCATCGTATCGCCAATTAGCGATGGCAAGTCGTCGTCTTATGAATATTCAGTAACGTTACCGTAGCCTGTCTATTTCGTACTAGCCATACGCGTTTTGTCACGCGATATCGATGCTCTCGAAAGCGTAGGGTGCACGTTGAGAAATCTCTCTCTCTCTCTCTCTTTCTCTTTCTCCCTCATTTGTCTTCTCACGTTTGAGTTTCATAGGATATTCTTTTCCGATGGGGATCGAGCATCAAAAGGATCGCATTGATGAGATCCGACTGGCGTTTCCGCTCTTTCGAGACGATTGATTTTTTTTTCTTTTTCTTTTTTTTTTTTTTTTTTTTTTTCTTTTTTTTCTTTCTTTCCTAGCTTCCGATGCAAAAAGGAGAAAGAGAGAGAGAGAGTGGGGGAGAGAGAACGCATCTAATGGTCGCATAATTAAACTCACCGGCGACAGCTTTCCCGTCTTTTCTCGGTTACGATCCCAGACTCGTAGATCAAACGATTTGCTCTCCGCGAATACGCGTATAACCCTGCCGCTCCTCCTACCCTCTTTTTCTGCGCCATCTATATATGTAAGATTTAAATTGATTTTAATTTTATCCTTTGGAATGGTAATCGTTTACTCCCAGATCTCTCTCTCTCTCTCTCTCTCCTCTTTCTCTTTCCTGTCTTTCTGTCTCTCTGTCAATCGTTTTGTACGAATAGTTAAATCTGCTTTCGAAGACGCAATTGCGGCTACGACATATCGAATTCCCAAAACGTACATATGTACGATTCGAACGGAAGGGCGTTTGATAAACAGCCGGAAGTTGGTCGCGGGTAAACGCCCAGCTTTCCTCTTTGCTCTGATAAAGAACGATCTATGTATGTATGTATGTATGTATGTATGTATGTATGTATGTATGTATGTATTTACGTACGTACGTACGTACGTACATATATATATATGTATGTATGCATGCGGACAGCTGGTCGAACAAAACGAAATGACTTCGCTCTCGATTCTTTATCGTCCTAAATAAAATGTAATCTTCGAAAAGACATTATAGATATGTAACTTTGGAGGGCAATTTTTTTTCTCTCCTCTTTTTTCCTCTTTTTTTCTTCCCCCCCCCCTTTTTTTTTTTTTTTTTTTTTTTTTTTTTAACTTATCCAGCAGACTCTAGACGACCTACGAGGTAAAACTATCGTTCGAGAGCTTTCACAGTATGAATTGAAAAAATTAGATCGGATTTTTGTACAAAGGACATTTTAATTTTTTTTCTCTTTTTTTTTTTTTCTCTAACGCCGAATATAAACTTTTATATGACTGTATAAAAGGAGATATATTATTAATAATCGTCGATTATGATATATCGTTGCCAATTCAATTAATCGACGAGGATACATTAGAAGCTTTTTTAATTACTGAAGATTTATGAATTTTAACGTAAATTCAACAGACGAGGAGATAATTAAATTGGGATATTTTAGAAAAAGGAAAAGAAAAATTCGTTCCAACGTATGGAGATAATTAAAATCGAAGGATCGACGAGGAGAAGAAGGAAACTCGCTATCGACGATCGAGACCTCGTTCCTTCCTCCGCCGCCCTCCGCCCCCGCCCTCCTGCCCCTCCCCGGTCTCTCTATCGTTTCACGCATGTAAATTCATCCGGACGTGACGTGGCGCGAGTCTCGCGGCCGAATCAAAGCTTAAGGCCATCTGTACCAATCGGTGTCCATTAAGTAGACACATGGTCGATTCTGAACTACCTTTTTGATATCATATTTTTCATATTTCTAACCTATTTAATCATTCATCATCGACTAGTATTACTCTTTCGAGTACTCTCTCTCTCTCATATACATTTATAATTCGAATCACTCTAAGAAATATATTTCTTTTCCTTTCCTCCTTCGGTTTATACGGCAACATTTTAAATGGAAACTTAAATGATCATTGAAAGTCGGTCAAGTTACAAATTAGATTTCTCTCTCTCTCTCTCTCTCTCTCTCTCTCTCTCTCGATTAGATAAAATTTTTCTTTCAACCTAATATTCAGATTAATAATAGACACAGAAGAAGAAGAAGAAGAAGAAGAAGAAAGACAAGAATAAGATGAAGGTGGTTGTCTCGTGGTGATATTGTCGAACGCGGAAGATGTCTAAGCCCGAACTCAAGTCCGTATCTAAGCAAGCCTCCGGTCTCCGGAGGTCCCTTTTTTTTCTAAATTGTATCTATTGGCTCGTAGCGATTGAAAGTAATTGAATGAAGCGGCCGGTTATTTACGAACGTTTAAGCCGAGCCAACTATCTGTCCATTCATTCGGTCTTGTCCCTTCATTCATTCATCATTCACTCTCGACCGGTGTACGGGTGCTGCATGTATAGCAGTAGTAAAGGCCCATTCAATTGATCGGTGATTGTCTAAATTATAAGATTGCCATACAATGGCTCTCATCTCGACCTATTGGGGTCCCGTTCGCCCCGTTGCGTCACCACTTTAGGACCGGATCGTAAGCGCGAACATATTAAAATGCCTTACCTATGAAAAATCGGACACGCATGAGAGTGAGAGATACCTTAGGACAAGGATCATCCTCACTGATGTTTGCTTGGTCCTAAGATTTTGTCGTCCATTCGATTTGCAGATCGATTATTCGAACGAGAAAGACAAAAAAAGGAAAAAAGAAAAAAAAAATAAGACAAATAGAAGAAAGGGATGAAAGACGATGACGACGACGATGGATTTATTTTACGTAGAAAATATAATCCATTTGATAGTCACGTTTCAAAGAAACATCGTTCGTGGATACCACTGGCCGATTTTCTCTCGACGATCTCTCCGGAGATTTGATAATCCAAGGAATTACGATAACTCGATGATACGTGGGAAATCTCTTACTACACGTCATTATCGCTTACTCTTGTTTTCATTCATTTCTATTCTATCGTATAATACAATGAGAAAATTTTCATTACTTATCATCATCATCATCGCGTTCTCTATAATCGTCTTCTATTCGAATGTTTTTAATGAACAATAATAATTCTTTATACTATATAATATCGACAAGAAATTTGGATAATAATTTGTTGTTTTCCTACATGATTTTACGAATCTACCATGGAATTAAAAAGTAATATTTAACGACACTAATATTTATCGTAATTGTTTTAAATTATTATATTAAATGTTTTTAATGTAAATAGAAAACGACTTGATTTTTTTCTCTCTCTTTTTGTCTCAATATATTTTTAAAAAAAGCAAAAGGATTTTGATGTCGCTTCTCTCTCTCTCTCTCTCTCTCTCTCTCTCTCTCTCTCTTTCTCTTTCTCTCTCTTCTCTGTATCCGCATCTGTATCTGTCTATGCGTACGCATGCTAATCCTCGAAAATAGGCTTAATTACAGACGCTTCGGAAACAGGATAATGGTGGCACACGCGTATATGGCCATCTCGTGTCCGACTAACTAGACTGGCGCTCCCGTGAAATCGGTTTATCGTTTCTGAGGAAAAGTTCCTTCGAATTCTAACCGAATCCGTCAGTTAGCTTACACCAACGACTGTGACGGAACTTCTCCATGTGCTGTTCGGTCACTTACGTATTACGCCTGGAGAAGTGCAACCCGTTGTCAGTCCAACTTGCAACCATTAATTAGCATTCGCCACTCTCTATTTCTCTCCCCCCCTCTCTCTCTCTCTATCTCTATATCTATATCTCTCTATCTCTCTTAGAGTCAAAAATGTATTATCTTGTACGGTGAATGATTCAATTTTGATGAACTCAATGAAGAAGTCTGAGCTTGGTTCATTAGACATATCGATAAATTTATATCAGAACGATTAATCATATATAGTTAATCGTTCAGTCATTCATATTATATTCATTCATTCATTCATTCATTCATTCACTCACTCACTCATTCATTCGTTCATTCATCGTTGGAATCAATGTATGAATTTAATTTTAATACGATTACGATCGATACGATTTGAAGATCAATTAATATTTCCTCCGTTGAGTAAATAGAACCTTGATAATTATTAAGAATAGATCCGTTTCGAGGACATGTATGAAGAATAGCTTTAAACTCGAAGATGTTGTATCTTGAGGAAAGGTAAAAAAAAAAAAAAGAAAAAAAAAAAAAAAAAAAAGAAAAAAAGGAAAAAAAAATGGAAAAAAAATAAAAACGTTAGACAAGGACGGACAGGCATGCGGTAGTAATTTTGTAAAGAAATCAACGGTAATTACGATAAACGTTTCATGTTACGCGCATCGAAAGTTATAAGAAGCGATCAGTAAAAGCGTTCGCTCGAGACATAAAGATGAGAGAGAGAAAGATTCTATGTATAAAGGGAAAACAGCTGGCATTAATGTTTTACAAATCGTGAGTTGTATGTGCATACGTATATAATACGTTGTCGTGAAATAAATTGACGAGATTGCCGAGGTTTACAAATATCTTTATCTAAAAATTACTGAAATGGAAGGATTATAACAACGAGATCTCCTATGTACTTTTATCTCGGATCTAATAATATTAAAACTAATTGATGATGGTTCGAAGCTCGAATGAATGATCGGATTTATTTAATCAGTGATTTGGATGTAACGTTTGAATATTCCACGTAAATTGGAGCGACGACGGTAGTTGAAGATGGAAACGTTTTGTTCTTTTCGTAGACGCGAAAGCGGGAACGAGTTCGCGTTTTGCGGCCGTGCCGCGCGTAAACGATCGTAAAGCAAAGCGATCTTTGGTTTTTCTCTCTCTCTCTCTCTCTCTCTCTCTCTCTCTCTCTCTCTCTCTCTGCATTTCCTTCTCTTGAAAGAGCGTTCCCGCTTCGTGCCGTAACTCGCGTTACTCGCGTAAAGCCGTCGAAGTTATCTGTGCATCGAGCGTGAGTACATTCTAAGTACGCATAAATACAGCACTGAATGCCGCTCACCGCGGCTTGTATTTAAATGTGAGCACGAGAGGAGGATCCTCCTTCTCCTCCTCCTCCTCTTCCTCCTTCACCTTCTCTTTCTCCCCCCCTTCTTCTCCTCCTCCTCCTTCTTCTTCTTCTTCTTCTCTTCTTAGTCGCACGCGCGCACTCACTCGGTTACTCGCTAGAGTATATAAGAAATAGATGGAAGGATTACATAGAGACGACGAGCTTGTACGCATCGTTCGACACGAAACGCCAACCGTAGTTGAGTATACATATAGAGATGTACGATCGAGCGAGCGAGTGAGTGAGTATCAAGCGGATACGCACGCGTGTTCGGAACGGTGAGTAGCTCTCGTTCCGACCCCCTGCTTTTCCCCTTTCTATACACGGTGTTATCGAACTTTCCTATCGACCCGGACAGACCTACGATCGACTACTTCCATCTGTTTCCTATCGTATCCGAGATTCTACAACGGAGATTTTTATATCTTACTTTTATTTATTTTACATTTCTTTTTATTAACAAAAACCCCTTTTTATATACGTACATATACATATGTATGTATATATGTATATTTCTTTTTCTTTTATTTATTTATTTATTTTTTTTTTTTTTTTTTTTTTTTTTTTTTTATACATAAATATTTTAGGAAAACATTGTTAAACACGAATATCATCATTCAACTTTTGCGTCGTCCTATATATAAACCGACTTCGTAATATTATCATCCTTCTATTGCAGACGATATGGAATTCATTCTCAACGGAAGACAAGCTTCGAGTTTTTGTCAAACGATTTCATTTAAGATTAAAATGTACGTTCGGAAGAAAATTAACCTGGATGGTTGGAGGAGGAACTCTTTTTGTGACTGAGAACCACGGAACTTTGGTGCACGAGCACCGATCAAACTTACGATAATATTTATTAACCCTAATTAGGACACCTACGCGTAATCCGGTTCGCTAATATAACGAACTTTGTTAAGCATATAGACTTTCGAAGCGAACAACGAAATTTTGCGGTAAAGTATTTAAATGCCAAGTGCGAGAAAGCCATGACAGCTGGGAAGCTTATAATCCTAAGCTACCTCTTTGTTTCTTATATTGTCTCGTTTTATTTTTCATTGTTTATTCTTCGTTTCATTTATTTTTCTCCATTTATTATCATTTTTTTTCTTTTCTCTCTTTTTTGTTTTTTTTTAAATTTATTTCTCTCTTGCTTTTATTTTATTTTATTTTATTTTATTTTATTTTATTTCTTTTTCCTTTTTATTGCCTCGCACACGCACATTTATTATGAACGAATTTATCGAGAAATATCAACGAAACGAGCTAGACGATTTAGAGGATCCAAGGTGCACGTGCTTTAATTGGAAGCTTTCGTGAGTCAGCGTCCAAGCGTGAGTAACTCGTATGTTTCTGAGATTTGCTGACAAAATAAACATTTCGCTTATTTAATCGTTTGTTACATTGCTTTGACGTTAGCATAAATAATCTAATCATAAGGGAAAAATTGATACGAGTTATATATTTTGTTTAGATAAATATATGTATATATATATATATATATATATATCTCTCTTTTTTTCCTTCTAATTTCATTCTATTCTCTAACCTAATTTCAACCTATTATATTACAAATCTAATGAGATTTTTTCACCAAGTCAAAATCTTCGCACGGTAGGTTGGTAGGTAGGTAGTAGGTAGATATAGGTATAGATATAGGAATATATATACATATATATACACATATAAACATATACGTGGCACGACGAAACGAGTTTTGCATCATCGCCTTCTTTTACGAAATAAATTTCAATTAAAGCACTTTCTAATCGTAAGTCCTCGCAATTAGAGTGGACGAAATTGTGAGAGTAACGTCGAACGTCGACGCGCAGCGCTTCGACGTATTTATTTTGCTATCTATATCAAACTCTGCCTATATACGAATTATTAAACGTCGTCGCATTAAAATCTGATTTATTCTCGTCCTTTCGTCATTTCTGAATTTATTTAACGGTGCGCGTTGAAGCATATACCAAGAAGAGTATCACCACCGTGTGACCGTCGAAATTTCTAATAGTTCAAAGAAGAGACTATCGTGTGCTCTCTTTTCTGTTAATAACAAAATTCTTGTTATAACCATGTATACGTAATTTTTTGGCTTTCCATCAAAAATATGCTTAGCATAATTGATTGAAGTAACAGCTGTTTATTTCAATAAACAAATCTCTTTCTCTTTTTCTCTCTACGTTACCTGATGATTTCTAACAACGCGACACTTTAGTAAAATTTCAATTGATCCTTTTTATCGCAACTTCGAGACGTTAGAAGCATAATTGATTTCAAATGGATGGAGATTAAGTGCGAGCATACGTTAAAGAGAGAGAAAAAGAGAGATGGAGAAAGAGAAAGAGAGATAAAGAAAGATATAGAAGGGAAGCATAAAGCGTGGCCGCGCGAAAATAGCGGTAACTCGGTATAATGCGATGCAGCAGCGGATATACTATTACTGTAATGTCCGCAGTACGCGAAGTCGGCAGGCTTTTGGTATATATGCGTGACACGTATACCGTGTCGGGCTCCTGTCGCTCATAATAAAGGCCTAAAACAATGTTCTAAACGACCACTAAACGATATCAAAAGTGGATATATCTGGACCAGTCGAGATAAAACTCTATAAATATTACTATATAAATATATATATATATATATATATATTACATACATTAGCTATATATATTTGTATCATTGATATT